TGTTATGGACTTTCCAAACACATTTTTTTTTAACTCCAGATGCTATTCATGGGATTTCACTCAAACATAGATAACAAAAACAAGCAAGGTAAATTGAGTCACAACTTCAGCAAGACAAAGGAGAAGAAGCCAATATGTCCGAATTGCTACAACAGGTCAAAAAGATTCCATCTTGCTGCGGCAAGCTATTAACCTAAGGACCCAAAAACAAAAGGCCAAATTCACAGAAGGGACCTTAACATCAGTCATCAAGGCACTGAACAACATCCAGGCTCTTCACAGTCCCATCATCTTAAACGGATTCACAGTGAATGCATACAAGAGAAAGCTTCAGTATTTCATGAATCCAGTGACTAAAAATGGTAAAAGCTATTACCTTTACGCTTTTCAAAAACCAAATAGGAGCTGAGATGATCGATAGAAAGGGTCTTCGTTTGACCAAAAATCTCCTCCTTCTGATGCTGCTGCTCCTTCTGTCCCTCCCTTGCCGTTTCTCTGTCGATGCTTCACCAGCCGTCAACCTTAGAATTTTCTCAGTTGTGCTCCTTCAATACCTTGCTTCCACTGTCAACTAGTCTCTCGGTTGTTATTTCAATCCCTAACCCTCAAAGTTCCGACTCTCTCTCACTCTTTCTTTCACTCAACCTCTAGCTTCAGCTTTCTCTGGTTTTCTCTGGTTTTCTCTTAGCCGTCAGCCCAAAAAATTTTCTTCTCCCATTCACGGCTGAGCCTTCTCTTACCTTTTATATCCACTTCCTAATCTCCTAAACCCTCACCCCAATGGTGAGGATGAAGGCTTACCCCTTGCCTTCATATCCAGCCATCCAATGGGTATCTCTGATCGTCCTTTGCACGCTGCAAAAATTGTAGCGTGCATGCTGCGATAATAATAAAATATATATATATTTTTTTTTATTTTTTTTAACTAATTAATTAATTAAACAAAAATGATAATAATAGAACAATAATAATTAATAACGAAAACAACATAATTAACATTGGATAAAAATAAACTAGAAACAACAAAAATGCAACTTTCCATTTTTCCCTTTTTTCATTTTTCTCATTTTTGCATCATTTTTTTTTCTCTTTTTTTTTTCACAAATTTTACGTTAAAACTTAAAACTAAAACTAAAAGCTAAAACGTGAACAAAATTAATATGAAAAATAAAACTAAAAATAATTAGCAAATAAAAGACAAATAAAAAGGTAAGTGAATAAAAATAAAAATAACAACTAAAATGCAGACAATCTAAAACAAAATCATGAATTAGATGTAACATACAAATTATTTAAAATTTGGTGTCTACAGTTTGCCCCTCTTTGTCTGAGTTTTGAAAAAAACTTGAGACAAAGAAGTAGACACCAAATACTTACCTGTATTATTCGGCTGTAGAATGATCCGAACGGACAGGAATCCTAAAACGGGACTGACCCGCACAGGAATTTAAAACGGGACTGACCCGAACAAGAATTTTAAAACGGGACTGACCCGAATACAAATTTTAAAACGGGACTGACCTGAACAGGAATTTAAAACGGGACTGACCCGAACAAGAATTTTAAAACGGGACTGACTCGAACAAGAATTTAAAATGGGACTGGCCCGAACTGGAATTTAAAAGACAAATAAAAAGGTAAGTGAATAAAAATAAAAATAACAACTAAAATGCAGACAATCTAAAACAAAATCATGAATTAGATGTAACATACAAATTATTTAAAATTTGGTGTCTACAAACATCATAGGGCAACGCTTACCTTTGGCCAACATCTCCGCAGCGGTACAACGGAAGTACCAATTCCCGTGGTTCGGAACCTTCATTGTCAACCACAGCTACATTTGACATGACGACATTTACAGGTGGAAGTGAAGACACCACCGCGACGTCGGAGATGCTCTGTCGCTGCGGATTGGTTGCCAATATACAAACTTCTTTCACGCGAGGCAACCCAGGCCGTCGGTTTGCAGCATGCAGCAATTACCCGGTTTGTTCGGTGTTGTAACATACAGTTTATAACATCCTCATCTGCCCCTCCATTTATATTGCAGGGGCCACAAACCCCCTGCGCACTCAGCCACACAAATGCTCTTTTTTCAGGTGGGTCGATGTTGATAGCTGCTGCAACAGGGGAAGAGCACTCGCGACGCTAGCAGCTGAGAAGATATGTACACTAAAGGAAGCCAGTTCGGCTCTGCAGGCGACGAACGTCCATGCCATCAACTCCAATCAGTGTTTGACGCGTAGGGTGGCGGAACTGGAAAGGGACAATGAAGCTTTGCGAATGATTGCGCAAGACTGCAAACAGAAGCAGCAATTGCTCTGCACCAAAATACGGTGTTACAAGTTGTGCTTCTTGATGGTGAGTGTGGTGTATATTGGTGTTTTTGCGTTTTGGTACAATTGGAGTTCACACTTTTTCCCAAATGCTACGAACTTGGGTTGTCTAATGCCAGCACACCGACATCCGCAACGATAGAACGTTTACTTCGTGAAACGTCTGCACATTTACCAAGCACGGTTATTTTATTCGGACCTTTACGCCTGCTTTGCGAATATTCCATTCCTGAAGACAGTCAAACAAACCTAAACATGCCTCGAACTTTTTGAGGTGCAGTTCCACTTTGTACGGTTATAGTCCAATTTTGTAAGCTACGTTTCATCGGCAGGACTGCTGTATTTGTGAACTCTGCGTAATTTCAACACCGAACTCAAACAGTTGTTTAGTGCTGGCATACAATATCTTCGCATGCACACAAGCACATTAAACCCAATGCCATGGGCTGAGTCCGTATGTGGACAGCTCGTTCAAAGTATTGTTCATACTTTTTGGGAGCTTGGGAAGACGTGGTGCACAACTTTTCAATGCAACCATGTTTAGCCGTGGCTATGTTTAACACCCTGCAGTTAACACTTGAGGATGCGGTTTCACCGCCCCTCCCTGGAAATTCATAAATCTCCTTTTCCAGTTCAACATCGCGGGCAGCCGCCCTTCAAACGAACCTGTACCTGCTTTGGTCCGCTTATATGCAACCAATGGCGGTGTGAATGCAGATGCCGGATGCATAGTGACTGAGATGTCAACAAATGGAGCTGCAAAATGTTTAGGTCCCACGTAAACAACAAACCCGAACGTTTCTCCCCTTACACATTACATTGTTGAAGGCCAAATACAGACCACTTAAAATCCCACAGCAATTGCAAAAATATAACATGCATACTATTGAATTTTGAACTTTACAGATGACCGAATACAGAGACTAGGTTGAGAACTACATTTAGGTGCGCACGTTAGTGGACATCAAACGACCTACAGTTGTCCACCGCGACCAACTACTTTACGGTGCACGTTGAAATACAGAAGCAACTGCCAATGCAGTGTAGCCAAAACAACATGCTTCACCAATCAGCAATGTCGGTTGATGCCGGTACAAGGCCATCAGCGGGTACATTTCGTGGTTGATCAACCTGGCCAACAAGGATACAACATAAATAAAATACCCCGCATCGAACTCAATACCACATTGCTCGCACATCACTCCCCTGCTTGGCCAACAAATACAAACAAAATTTTGTAATGTGGACGAATACCTGATACGACGAAATCCGTGATGAATGCAGGATGTATCCCAAAAACCCATCCACACTGCCCGGTGGACCATAATATTTTTCAACCAATAGGGTGGTCAGTTTAAAAAAGGCTTGACATGCAACACGAAGGACTCAGTATGCACTAATGTAACATGCGATTGCATACTACTATAATAATTACCGATTCCAATGACTTCCCTTGCCGTACGCCATCTGGTCCTCCCTCATCCATGTCCTGCAACCAGGTTACACATTCCATATTAGCACACGCACTCGCATACAGCCACACACGGTCTCAGGCTGACAGTTAAAGGCAACAATGTGTTGTCCTTCAAACACCTTACCCCTATCACTTAGTGTCACTGAACTAAACAAATTATGCGTAACACTAATTTTAGTGATATTATGTTCATTTCAGCATATTACTTCGGTCGTAATCGAAATATGGCAACAGCTTATGCACTATGTGACCATTCGACCACAACATGTACGCATTACTTAGAAGGGCATGAACATGGGATTAATTCAACGCACAACTTAGCAGCAAAGGTAGCCAGGGATGTGTAGACACAGTTGTGCATATGTTGCACATAAAATCCATTCCAACCTGAATCCGTACAACAGGGTCCCTTGGTCACTGCTGCTCCATTTCATTTGATAACTCAATACCGATTCGACCAGCGGGTGTCATCCCCGTGTTGCGTTGTTGTGCATGAGCAGTGCAACTACACTTTTCATGACGATCATCAGCGTCTGTGGCTCTGCGCTTTGATATCGCGTTTGGCACACTTCCTCTTCCCCTGCATTGGTAACAAAAAAAAATGCAACTAAACCGCACACTCAGTGTTTTGTGTTCCATAGCAAGTCAGGTAAGTTAGGTAAGCCTATTTATGAATACACAGTTGCATTGTGTGGTGAAGTGCATTGTACATGGGATGTTCCTGTAATACGCCATACATATTGTTGCCTACCTCAGTTTCCCTCGACACAAGACTCGTGCTGCAATGAATTTTGGGTCCTTAACCCAATCCCTTTGACCCCCTGTTTGATTGGTTAGTTGCACAGCTCCACAGCCCTGACCTCTTTGCCTCTTGCCTTGCAGCTTCTCAGTTCGAACTGACTCATTCTGGAACAGTTCCAATGCATTTGTGAATTCATCCGACGTCTTGCACGCATTCCTACATACATCATTTGCTGCCGAAAGCAGCGTAGAGTATCTGGACATCTCTGTGAGGTGTGAGCTGCTTGTTTCAGCCCCCTCGTCACTTATTACGCATTCCTTTGCCTGTCGAGTCCACCTATTCATGATGCAGTTTGGAGGGATCCTTTTCAATTCCTCAAATAGCATTGCACGAAACATGTGACAACAAGGCAGGCCGTGTGTTTCCATTTTCAGGCACGAGCACTTCATATGTCGCGTGACCTGTTATACACCACAGTGTAGTACGAGTAATTGTACGGATGCTTCATGAAGTGCACAGCATTTATTCCATCATCCGTGCCATTAATCCTACAAAATAGCCCCTGCTTCTTCATTTCCTCCCGTACCACAACGAAAGTGGACCTAGTAAACACTTCAGCAGCATGTTTTTCCAGCGCCTGCAGCTGTGTCGCACCGAGAAGGGTAGTGTGCTCTGTGACAGCCCGTTGACGCCTCTCTTCATGTCGCAATCGGCCCACCGCCAAGTCATATGTTTCAAGGCACTCAAAAAGCTTCAACTTGGGGGTCAGATGTAATTTTAAGACCTGATGCATTTTCTCGCACCGTTGGGTACTCCGCACTCCTCCGAAAAAGTTGCCTCTCAGGAAAGCCATAGCCCACAGCTCCCTCTTGCGGTACATCTTCTTAACCCATTCGTTATTTTCAAGCCGAAAACGTCTGACAACCGCTGCCCACCTCGTTTCAAAATTAATTGTTGTACAATTCATAAACATGCAGGTCTTGAATGCCTGCAAGAACTCTTTGTCCCTTACATTTGTGGCAGCATTCATTTCCAAATGGAAGCTGCAAAGTCTGTGCTTAGCTGTGGGCATTAATTTTTTAATGCACTTTCGCATTGACTTGTCCCCATCTGTCACAACTGCTATCGGTTTCCTCCCATGCATTGCTTCTAAGAATGTACTTATAACCCAATCATATCCCTCATCTCCTTCCCGAACGATAAAAGCACACGCAAAGATACATGTCGAGTAGTGATTGTTAACCTCACACAACACAACCAATGGAAATCTGTACTGGTTCGTATTATACGTGCTGTCGAACACTAGCACATCCCCAAAACATCTATAGTCGTCTCTACACACGGAATCAGCCCAAAGCAAGCGATTCAGGCGGCCATGGCCATCTACAGAATATTTGAAAAATAAATTCGGATCACTTCGTTGCTTGCCTAACAAGAATGCAAGTGCCGAATCACTGTCCCCATCACCAACTGCTACCTGCCTCTGCCGATTCAGCGCATTGTACATATCTGTTTCATGGAAACCCAGGTTGCGGTATCCGCCAGCCTGTACAGCTAGTAGTCTCATAATGTGACTTGTTCTTATTCCTGCTTGTTGCATAAGTACTGCCTGTTGCAGGTCCGACTTCCCAACCTTTCTATGCGACCTCATGAAACTAACACTTTCAGGACTGCACAAACGATGGCAATGTCCACTAACAAATTGTACAACAACGTACTTTTGTTTCGACTCGTGTAATCGAACCTTCAAATGTGCTTGACAGTTCACTCTTGTTACTGCCTTCGGTTCCCTTATTCGATTGCCTCTGTTCAGGTGTTTTTCAAGTCTTTCGCCTTCCTTATTGCAAAGCCATGACCTCACTCGGACATCGCCTTTCTTATCTTTTCTCTTGCACCCTTTTCGTACCCCAAAACCGGTTGCTCTAGCGTATATCATATAGAATGCTTCTGCCTCTTCAATGCTGTCAAACTCCATGCTACCTACTTCTATATCATCAATACAGTGGAATGCAGCGTTTACATTTGGCCCGTCTTGACCAACAATGTCCCCTACAGCACCCTGCCCTAAAATCCGTTCTGTTCTGCAGTTCGTTGTTGAATGGACAATTTTTAATCTGTTGTCACTTTCTTCACCTTCGGCACTCGCACCAACATCCCGTCTGCTCCATGGATGCCCTTCCACCATTTTCATTCGCAATCCCGTTTGCTTGATGTTACCACTTTTATTGCTAATTCTGCTATGCGGGCTTATTCAACTTTGTTGCGTTCAAAACTGTCTCCAACAAATTTTCCAATTCAACACCACGAATGGAAGACACAAAATGAGATTACGAACCTGTAATAAGCAATACAGGTAATCATTCAGTGCCTTCATAGGTTACGAACATTATCTGATCGACACAAAGTTGTTGACTTCAAAATGTTATGACATGATAATCCCCCAAAAAAGCCCCAAAAAAATTCGCTCTCTCACAATCAATGTAGGTTACAGAAAACACTGGTTCACACTTACGCTCTGGGTCTTCCATCTGCATGATGACAAAATAAACACTTACGCTTACACTTTCTTAATTGACACTCTCCACTGCTACCTTACCTCCAAACAACCCGCGACGAAGACGACATTGTACCGTGGGAGTCAATGACAGCAGATCACCTCAAAAACCTATAATAAGGGATGAAGCTAATCAATCAATGGCATCATAGGTGACGAACAATTGTCTGATGTACACTATGTTCTTGCAGGCAAAAATGACTACATGATAATCCACTCACAGTGGGCTAAAGATTCCCCCTGTGAGAATCACTGTAGGTTACACAACATACAGTTTAATCGCTACAGTCTTGTTCTCACAATTTCATGATGCAATATGGCACAATATTTGAGTCCAACCTAAACGGAAACGGAACATAAACACATACCAATACGCGTCGTCGTTTGATACTCGCCACTGCTGCCTTCCATCCACGGGAAGTGGCGACGCGAGGGACAATAAGACACACTTGCAATACCGCACCTCCTTATCTGGACACCATTTGGATTCCCCTTTGCAGGTATTAATGAATTACAACGCAAATGTCCGGAATATACGGAAAACAACCAACGCACCTTACTCGCAGTGTTCCAGAAGAGAATTGATGTTCATCAAATAGCCAGCGTCGCTGTACCTCCGCTGACTATGTCGGACATTCACAACAAAAGACGGTGAAGCTACGTACACATTTTTCCCCGGTTCAGTCCTGTTTTGGGGCTACAGCGAAATTAAACAAGCAACAGTCCCGAGAATCCATTACCTTTATTTAGGGTTTACTTTCCCAAATGAGTTGCGGCCCTTCTTTTTCCCACCTCACCGTTCTTCACTATTTGTTATTCAGTATATGTAAAAATTGGCATGCCCTATGCGCAGAGTGGCAGTAATTGAAATAATCTTTTTTCCGCTGTATACATATTTCATGATTTTGTTTTGCATTAATATATAAATTTATAATAAGTGTATATTATTTTGTTTTGCATACATATTATAAAGTCGCAGCTGTTTATGGCGTTTGTGTATTATATGAACCAGGAACGAGATTTTGTTTCGCATGATTTTGTTTTGCATACATATTTCCGCTGTATATGATTTTGTTTTGCATACATATTATAAGTGTATATTAGTATAAATGTATAAATTAATATATATATTAATATTATGTAGAAATGTATTTATATAATTAGGATAAATGTATATACGTGTTAATATTATGTATAAATGTAGAATTAATATTATGTATATTAATATAAATGTATAAATGTATATAATACATAATATAAATGTACATTTACATGTATAAGTGTATATTATTAAAAACATATAAATTATAAATGAATATTATAAAAATGTATAAATTAATATATTATAAATATATATTAATATTATGTACAAATGTTTTAATATAATTAATATAAATGTATACATGCATTAATATTATGTATAAAGGTAAAATTAATATTTTGTATATTAATGTAAATGTATAAATGTATTATATTAGATATTATACATAATATAAATGTATATTATAAATATACATAAATATTTATATATTATGTATAAATGTACATTTATATAAATGTGTAATATATTATATATTATATTATATAATATTTATGTAAATATATTATAAATATATAAAAATATACTACAAATAAATTAAAAAATTTGTAATCTGTATGTATAAATATATAATATTACAAATGCATAAAATATATAATACACATTAATATTAATATAATTTATGTATAATATACATAATTGAAATATACATATTAATATATATTAATATATATTATAAAACAAAATTTAATAAATATATTTATTAATTTATATATAAATAAATGTATTTATATAAATATATATTATTTATTTCAATTGATATAATATATATAATATTATACATAATTGAACTAAATATATTCACATTGATATAATATATATAATATACATAATTGAAATATACCTATTCAAATACATCATTCAAATATACAAATTAAAATATAATTCAAATATACATATTAAAATACATAATTCAAATTTACAACTTGAAATATACTTACTAAAATACACAAAATTTATTGCAGGAATGCCGCAAATACAGGGTGTTTTATTGCAAACCGGGTTAAAATTTTGTTCCCGTAAACAAAATTTTCCACCCCTACAACGGGTACTCAGTTCTTATAAGCTATAAACAGTTATTGTTTTATTCCAAATCGGTTTATTTTATTTTCTCCACCACATACATTTTTAAATGGAAAACGGGGTTCTCTGTTCTTATAATGGAGCAAAGTCGTAACAAGCTAGTGTTCGACTGAACACCGGTGTTAATTTTTATTTTACCCGATAAATAAATTGTGTTATGCACAAAAAAAATTAAAGGGTACTCTGTTCTTATAATGCTGGAAAAGCCATAAAAAGCTAGTGTTTTACGACAAAATGGATTTATTATATTTTTATCCCAAAAACAAAATGGTATGTGCAAACACGGACACTGTGTTCCATTCACGGACGAAAGCCATCAATAGCTACTGTTTTATTGAAAAACAGGCTGGTTTTTTTTTCGGATAAATAAATTCTGTTATGCAAACAAAGCATACTCTGTTCTTATACTAGTGCAAAGCCATAAAGAGATGGTGTTTTACGACAAAATGGAATTATTTCATTTAATTTGCCAAATAAAGCGGTTTTTGCAAATACGGGTACTATGTTCGTATTACGGAAGAAAGGCGTCAATAGCTGGTGTGTTATTGCAAACGGGTTTTTTTTTTCATTTTATCCAAAAACTACTTTTTTTATGCAAAAATTGGGTACTTTGTTCCTATAATGCGGGAAAGCCATAAAGAGCTAGTGTTTTATTGTAAAACCGGTTTATTTTGCTTAATCCACCAATTACATTTTTTAAACGTCCAAAAGCGGTTTTAGAGATGAGGTATTTCATGCAAACATGGTACTTTACCATGCCAATGGATAACATTTCAAACACAATCAAAGGTTTGGTATTTTAATTAACAAACATTCGATTCCGCTTGGCTTACATAGTTTTCTGGGTACTTTTCAAAAACAGCACTCTAGTCCTTCGATCGTGAAATACAAGCCGTGTACATTTCGCCAATTCCTTTCCCTTTTACACAAATCCTTTTGACTTAAGTGCTTTCCAATCACTAATTTTCATTAATATGTTTCAATTGCAAGAAACAATTTAATTCCGCATAAATTGCAAAAAATTAGTATCTCAACTATTGGGACTTTGCTGATTCTTTCGAGGTCTGATAACAAAGCCGTTGAGAGCTGGTATTTTTATTACCGACACCTTTTTTCCATAAATGGACTGCTTTCTATGATTTTGCTTTACTAAATGTCAAAGTACCGCCATTTAACCAGCATAAATATATCTCTTTGTTCAGAACTTTAAACAATAATGCTATTAAGCTGTATCTTTCCCTTTCAGACCAAGTATTTTGACTTGTCCATTTTTTCTGTGGCGCGGACAACATTTTTCGGTTACTTTTCCTTTAAAACTACCACAGAAAAAATTTATATATGCATAAATTTTTTGTGTAAAAAAACTAATTTATTCACATACGATCGAGTATTTATACAAGTATATTAAAACTCCATACTAAGTAACGTACTCAATTTTAATCACGAATACAACATTTTTCTGTTATTTCAAATAACAAAAAAAAACTGCTTCGCATAAGTTTTTTTTCATAACTGCTGTGCGCTAATCATTTTTTCTTTTTCTTCAAATTTCTGAACCTTCTTTACGCACATTTTTTGTCCAAGGCATTTGCAGCATTTTTGCTGCGGTAATGGGTACATTTGCAAATACAAAAATGCCTCTCCTTCTAACCTGCAATAAGACATCCTGTCCCAACCCACGACGATAGTACGGAAGTCTGTGTGCTTGTTTGCTTCATTCCGCACGCGGTCTGCTTCATTTCCTCTCCACGTGCTCACCAACACTTTAACGTCTCCGTTTGGACCGTTTTGCCCCCAACACGTGTCGCTCCCTGCCAGCATTCCTACCATAGGCAGGTTCCTACCATAAAGGTATCCCTCTCAGCATGATCATCTATTACTTCTATCATCAGTCATTACTCCGTTGCAGGAAATCAAGCTGGTAACGCTATTCTATTATTAGTGCTAGACTTCCAATTGGGCAATCTTGTGATTTCAGTTTTTCTGCATGTATTCCTACATTTTTTTGGTTATATAGCAATGTGTGCATAATAGTAGTAGTTTGAATTTCTGGGAAGCATTCTGGTCTAGATGTTCATTCAGAAAAATTAGTTGAATATAGCCAAGAAACACTTATAGATAGAAAAATATTAGCAAACATTTAAAAAGGTAATGTTTCAATAAACTCTTATAACGGATTTAATGTACTTGCATTAGAAAAGATAAAATTTTATCTAAGGAAATACCATATGTTTTATGGGATAAATTTCAAAGAAAAACATTAGAATATAGCCTTACTACTAATAAAATAATGATCCCATTAATATCTAAAAAGGATATTTACAGCAAATTAGAGAAAATACCAGAAAAATAAGAGAATCTATAGGATTGATTCATATAAGTTCTATCCAAATGATTATTAGATCTACATTTAGAAAGAGACTAAATGCTCTTATAGATCTTTCTATAG